TGTTGTTTCTGTCTGTCTGTCTATCTCTCTCTCTCTCTCTCTCTCTCTCTCTCTCTCTCTCTCTCTCTCTCTCTCTCTCTCTCTCTCTCTTACTTTTACCCAGTATTTAATTACCGTTATTGTGTCGATGTGCTTCTTTTTACAATCAAATAAACGAAACAAACAAACTGGCAAATGACAGGACCAGCTTCTATAGCGTTGCCTGTAGTTACCGTTATACCGGGTACCCATTGCAGATGGGAACGGATCCGCTCGGATTGGGTTGATCGCCCGACTCATTGCCTGAAAGTAGTGAAAACAAACGCGTTTGGGGTTGTTTTTTTTTTTTTTGGGGGGGGGGGGGGATTTTTTGTTTGGTTTTGTTTGGTTTTGTTTTTGTGTTATTTTTTTTTATTTTTTTGAGGTGACGGGTCGTGCGATTGGTTTGTGCCACGATATCTGTTTTGCGCCCTCAATCTAGCAAGCATACCGACCCGACCCGACCCGACCCGACCCGACCCGTTCGTGCCAATGGCGTAAGCATCGTACACATAAAACATGAGTTCGATTCCTGAGTTGGGAGTTAATTTCAATCGAGTATCCCCGCCTTTCTGCTGTGATGTTGTGTCTTTTTCAGCCCAGGCTGATCCTGAAAGGTAAGGTTGAAGCAGCCTGCTTCCTTAATGATCCATCCGTACGTCGTGGTTTACTATCGTATCCTTACGACGTGGGGAACTCTCTGCCCCCACTTTCCAAAGAGGAAATTTACTAGTCAATCCGATCCGCTGGGCAGTCTGTCTGTCAAAATTATATTTTGATAATAAATACTGAAAGTTTCAAAGAGATCTTCGCACTAGAAGTATTCTAAAATGTGAAGAATACAACCCCTGGGGTACAAAATGACCCCAGGCGTGCGGACAGGGTTAATGATTTATCTGATTAGTGGCGATAGGGGAGAAAAACTGCTGGAATTGCATTTTTTACATCAAACAACAGGAGGCTCGACTTTTCGTACCGGTTTGGTTGTTGAGGTGAATTTGATTTTCCCGAGAAAATATGCCCACTGAGACCGGGGCTTGCTGCTTCTTCTGTTCAAAGCCGGGGGTTTCTCGTGACCTAGAGATTAAGGTGTTCGCCTCTCTTTCATTAGGTCCCGGGTTCGAACCAGGATAGCGACGGAAATTTTTCTACTCTAAATTGTTTCCTTTCCCCTCCTTTCCTTCTCTCTGGCAAAGTTCTGTCGTCTGCTTTCGACTCCACTTTCTGCTTCCACCCCTTCACGTCCTTTGCCTCCTCCTCTGGGCTCCTGACTCTTTCTTCAGCCTTTCTGCCGCTACTCCTTGGCTCCTTCTTAGTGCTGTCTTTCAGCCACACACGTGATTTTAATGTAGGAAAGGTCTACACCTAACCTTCTCGGACATGGGCGAAAAATCTCGGAGGTCCGTTGTGCAAGTTCCGCACATTAAAGATCCCTTGGTGGTCCAAAATTGAAAAGAATAAGCTTCCGCCGCCACCCTTGCAAAATTCAAAATTTCCTTCCCACTGAAAATGTATAATGTGTCTCGCGCGCTCATATGACCTTATCCAGTTGCGAGCGCCGTAAAACACTTACCGTGCATGGTTGGCGGGTGCTCTGGTGTGGTTCACTCCTTCTTTCCTACCAAACGTCTATCTTCCTGATCTCTCCTTCTTTTTTGTGTTTGTTACTCTATTGTAATACCTCAAATCTTCGGCACTTATATGACCTTATTGTGTTGCAAGTGCCGTAAACCTCTTACTATAGCTTTAAAAAAGCCCAAACACTTACCAAATAAAAAACAACAACCAAAGTTAAAAGTGTCCCAGCTGATGAAAACCCTTTTATTACAGGACAAATGACACAACATCAGCCAGAAATATACTTCTTTGTTTGCATTTATTAAAAACCTTTACAATGGGCGCCACAGTATCTTGGGCTTAGGACTGTTTTGTACTGCCTCCATTTTTGGCGTAATCAATTTGAGGGCACGCAAGTATATTTATGCACATGAAAATAGTACTGTGGTCTTTGTTTACACTTGGTCAAAGAGAGACCCTAATTACAGAATAACCTGTCCCCAGGGTTTTATGCACCCCGCTTAATTTAGAATAAGTTCATTTTTTGAATAATTTCTGATTATTTTCCTGTATTATTCTTTGCTAAAATTAACAGAACCGCATACTTTCATGTATTTAATTTGGGCTCAGTTTTCACAATTTCAAATTTTTTGGGCATAAAACCGCGGGGTCAGAATAACATTTTGCAATATCTTTCACGTTAAATGAAGGTACATGGATAACTTAAGAGCAGTCATTTTGATATGGGGTTTTTTTTTGGTGTTTTTTGGGGGGTAAATTGGAAGCGGAAGTTAATTCATAGTTCCTTAAACTTAAAGCAAAAAATTGCGCTTTTCTCAAAACTGCTTACAGTGGAGAAGGTAGACCACTCTTTTTCTTAAGGGCACAATTAATTCCTGTCTCGAAAACGGGAGTTCAAGCGAAAAGAAATTGAAAATCTGCAGAGGAAACGTACTAATTTTGGCTCAAAGGAAAGACTTTTTCAAGAACTTTATCAACAACTTTGACAGCCGTGAGACCCCCCCCCCCCCCCTAAAAAAAAAAAGATAAAAAAATAAGTCGGAAATTGAAGTGCCCGATACCCTTCAGCTTGCGACAAAATTATATATACATGAATTTAAAGAACAATAGTATTGAAATAGAGTGCTTTCTGTTGGTATCGATCACACGTAAATATACACGTATTTGAAGACGTTTGAGCATCTGTTTGTCTTTTATTTTTGTTTTGTTTATTTTTGTGTGTGTTCTTTTTAATGTTTTTTCTGGGTTTTTGTTTTGTTTTGGGTTGTTGGTTCTTTATTTAGCGGGAAGGGGGGGGGGTGGTTTTGTTTTGTTTTTAAGTTTGCCCATGGTTTGTTTCGATATGCTTCGCGGGTGGTTTGCGAATGCTCTTGTGTGGTTTGTTCCTTCTTTCCTATCAAACATCTATCATCCTTATCTCCCCTCCTTCTATTTTGTGTTTGTTACTCCCATGTAACACCTCTAATCTTCGGAACGTATATGATCTTATATTGTGTTGCAAGTGCTGTTAAACACTTCTTCTTCTTCTTCTTCTTCTATCCCGGGGTTGGGGCAACAGTTGGGGCACCACTGCATTGGAAAACCAGCTCTCGCCATCTATTTTTGTCCTCTGCTCTCCTCAGATTGTCACCCATCGTCTTTCTTTTCCACTCTGTAATGTTGTCCTCCCATCTCTTTCTCTGCCTTCCTCTCTTTCTCTTTCCTTGTACGGTTCCTTGTAGGATTGTTTTGGCAAGTCCTGTGGATCTTGTCACATGCCTATACCATTTTAGTTTTCGTCTCTTCACTGTGGTCAGTAGATCTTCATATTGTCCCACTGCGTTGGTGATTCTCTTTCGTACTTCAGCATTTGAAACGTGGTCTTTGTACGAGATGTCAAGGAGTCTGCGGTAACATCTCATCTCTGTGGTCTGAATCTTTTTCTCTAATTCCGCTGTTAGTGTCCACGACTAGCAGGCGTATAAAAAATATTGAGATGACCAGTGAGCGCATTAGTCTAATTTTTTAGCTGTGCGTGATGTTTCTGTCCCTCCAAATAGGCTTCAGTTTTGACAGCGCAGCTGTTGTTTGCGCGATTCTGGAGAGAATTTCTGGTCTTGAGCCTTCATCTGAGACGATAGATCCGAGGTATTTGAAGCTGTTGACGGTCTCAAGTTTCTCGCCCCTGACTTTGATGTCCGCATTGAAGCCATTGGTGTTATTGGTCATTAGCTTGGTTTTCTCGGCACTGATCTCCATGCCGTAGGCTGCTGAGGTTGTGTCCAGCCGCTCCACTAGTGTGGCGAGCTCCTGTTCTTCTCCTGCTAATCCATCGATGTCATCGGCAAAGCGCAGGTTAGTAATTGTCCTGCCTCCAATACTGATTGTTCCATATCATGATTCGTTCTAGGAAGATGTTGAAGAGAGTGGGAGAGAGTAAACAGCCTTGCCTCACCCCGACCGTTGTCCTGAACCAATCCCCCATGCTGCCGTTAAGGTAGACTGCGCTGGAAGCCTTGTCGTATAGTTGTTGTATGACGTTGATCAGGTTGGCGTTGATGTTATATTTCATCATGGTTGCCCATAAGGCTGCATGCCAGACCCCGTCGAAGGCCTTTTTAAAATCCATGAAGATATGGTATAGGTTTTGTTGGTGTTGGAGGTACCTCTCGCACAGTATCCTGAAGTTGAAGATCTGTTCTGTTGAGCTGCACCCTACTCTAAAGCCTGCCTGCTCTTCGGCAATGATCTTCTCTGCCTGTAGTTTCAATCTGTTCAGCATTATCTTCAACATAACCTTACTGGGGTGGCTTATTAGACTGATGGTGCGGTAATTCTGACATAGTTGCAGGTTACCTTTCTTGGGGAGTGTAATCACTAGTGATTGTGTCCATGGTGTTGGCCACTCTCCTGTCTGCCAGATCTTGTTGCAGATGACAGTAAGAGCGCTTATCATGTCCTTTCCCCCTGCCTGTATCAATTCTCCTGGGATGTTGTCCACTCCTGCTGATTTCCCCCTTTTCAGTGCTTTAACTGCTGCTTCAACATCTTCTCGGAGGATTGGGTGGTTATCGATGTTGGTTGTTGGGGGAACGTTTAGAATCTCGGGGTTTCCCGTGGCTTTGTAGTTGTACAGTTCTGAGCGGTATTCTCTCCATCTTTTCAAAATGTTTTGTTCCTCTGTCAGGCATTTTCCTTGTTTGTCTTGAATGGTGGCGGCGCGCCCTTCTCTGTACTCAGGTCTTTTACTAATTGATAGGCTTTTTTTGCTGTTGTTTGTTCTCAGGTTGCTTTCGATTATTTGGCTGTTCCTCGGTCAAATTTTCTTTTGCCCTTTTCATACTTGTTTTAATTTTTTGACTGACTGCTCTGTACTCCTTTGCACAATATGGTTGCTTCTTTTTCTCCTTTAGTTTTCTCCTTTTGTCACACAGGTTAAGGATGTCAGTTGTGACCCAGGGCTTATTGACTCGTCGGTGTTTTCCGAGAATCTGACTGGCTGTGTCAGTCACTGCTGTATTGAAGGTGTTGATCCACGTGTCCGTGTCTGTGTCATTGTTGTTACCAGCGACAGTGAGGGGTGCAAACTTTCCTCCTATCATGGCTTGGAAGGCTTCTGCTACTTCTGGGTCCTTTCGTTTTTCGAAATCAAACTTCATCTTTGTGTTTCCTTGCTTTTTAACCCTCTTCAGGTGGAGGCGAAAGGTCATCATCACAAGGTCGTGGTCGCTTCCAACGTCTGCTCCTGGGAATGTTCGTGTTTTTCCAATTTTGACACTGGACTGGAAGCGCTTTTTCACCATGATGTAGTCAATCTGGTTGTAAAACACTTACTAAAACTAAATAAACTATCGAACAAGGACTCTCCATCTTTTGCACAATAACTTGTACCAGTTTGTCTTAACATATAAATATTTTTGTAACCCCTCTATCTGTGCTACAAGGTTGTGTGTCTCGTCAAGTGTGCCTTGTTCTGTACGTGCTTCATCTTCCACGCGTTCTTCCATACCGTTGACAATGACACCATGGAATGAAACCTGGAGAAAAAGAGAAAAAATATAATATAAAATGCTTACTTTCTGCGAACTGATTTTAAACATCTGTCTCTGTATCTCTCTATTGTCTTTATCTCCCCTCCTTATTTTTTCTGTTTGTTACTCTCTTGTAACACCTCTAATCTTCGACACTTATATGACCTTACTGTGTTGCAAGTGCCGTAAAACCTTTACTAAAACTTAATGTCTGTCTGTCTGTCTGTCTGTCTGTCTGTCTGTCTGTCACACACACACACACTCTCTCTCTCAAGCTCTAGCTCTCTCTCTCTCTCTCTCTCTCTCTCTCT